TAAAACATACTCCTCTTTAACCTAAAAATACTAATGGAACATTTTCATCATCTGTTTAACCCTGAATGTCAAAACGTCATTGAAAATACATTCCCTCTGCTAATTTACAGTTTAAATGACAGTTTAAAGCACAGAGGTAGATTTAAATATACTTTGTTTCGAACATTTTTGCATCAGTGATGCGCCCTCATCAATTCAAAGTCATAACATTTGAAGAACTATAGACCGATCAGTTAGCTGCCAATCATCTGCGAGATTTGTACAAATTTTGTGGTGAACAAACTTCAAGAGGAACCGGACTTCGAACAGCCTAAGGAGCTAGCAGGATTCAAAAGTGGATTTAGTACGATGGATTATCTCCAGGTAGTACAACGATAATTCAGACAAGCGCCGCATATCAGCTTTATTTACCTGCGCTTCATCCATTTCAACGTTTTCGACTGAATCTACACCTGTTCTATACTGAATTCCTTGAGAAGTCAGGGAAACGAGAAAAGATACAAACAGCTCATTGCCATCATTTACAAAAGTGCAACTGCCAGTGTGAAGCTTTACGAAAGCATAAACAAGTTTAAAATTGGAACGCGGATGCAATATCACCTTAGTTACTAACAGCAGCATTAGAAGATTCTTTTAGCATACATCACTGAGAAAATCAGTGTCTGAACATAAATTGACACTACATAAGCCATCTGCTGCATGTGGATGACATTCTGAGTCTGTAAAAGTTACTAGAACTAAAAAAAAGAATTTAAGTGTTGAACGAAACCAGGGTCAGAGCATGAATGAAAACGAAACTGAAGAAGATCCGGATCATGTTTAACAAATGCAGCTGCGCGACCTATTGATGCCAACGAACTTGGGCTTCAAGAAATGCAAAACCGGGTTTCTTTAGGGATAGGCAATCTCTGCAACGGAGAACCGACTATCTGAAACCAGCAGACGAAAAAATGGCATGGGACACTTTTTGAAGACAATATCTCTATCCGCAAAACTGCCCTTATGCCTGAAGCGGAAAATTTTTCGATCAATGCTTCTCCCAATGCCAACGTAGGGGTGCGAAACGTCGATCCTAAGCATGAAAGCTGTTAGTCTTAGACTGCGCAACGCAAGAGAGAAACATGCATGTTGAGAATAAGAAAAGGTGGGAAGAGGAATGAATGGATAACGGGGAGAGGAATGAATGGATAAGGGTATAAACAACGGTCTGCGATGCTACTGCCTAAGTGAAGAAATTAAAGAAGTGACAAGGAGCAGAACAAGTTTAAAAAATACCGATAATCGCTGGACATGTGAAACGGAATGGGTTCCTACAGAGAGTAAGCTGAAGAAGCTCGCTATATCGAGATGGATAAAAATGCAGAAAACAAAAGCTTGTGGCAAAGTCTTGGACAGGCCTTCATCCAACAGTGGATCATGTAAGGCTGATGATGACTGCCATAATCTGCTATTCTTTAAGGGTTGTGGAGAACGTGGCCTCAAAAAGTTTTTAAAGGTGCTGGTCTTCTGCGAATTGTGTGAACTTCATGAAATGAATATTAAGGCGTGACAATTCCAAATGGTCAATATAATTGCGCCATTCAATCTCAGGTTTGCTCGTTTCCTGCCTGCCACGTGGCTCTGCGCAGAACCCATCTTGTCAACAATATTCCTTTCAGAAATCTAATCAAGTTTCTCAACCGTCGAAGTGGCGTTTCTGGAGCGAAAGATGAATCACAAACCAGGGTATCTTTGATAGTCGTCCCGAATCCTGTTTTTAGCCCGAATCACAGCATTCCTTAAAAAGAACCGCCCATTTTCGCATGTATTCGAGAGTGCAGTTGTTTGGCTAATTTATGTCACTGCTTCCACGGTTTACATGACGTCAGGCGTGAATACTACCCTGAGGTACTCATATTCCTTTATCTGATCAGTTATTAAACTGCAGAACAACGAGAAAGGAAAAACTAAAAGAAAAAGTGTTGAAAAAAAGATGATCAAAAAAGAGGAAGCGGAAGAAAACGAACTGCAAAAAAAAGAATAACTAAAGAAAAGAGAAGAGGAATAGAAAAAACTGGAATAAGAAGCAGAAGAAAAGGTGAAGAAGCAAAAGGAGAAACTAAAAAGAACAAAAATATACACACGAAGAATCAGAAAAGAACAAGAAAAATAAAGATGAGGAAACAGGAATAAAATGAAGAAACACAGAAAGTAAAGAAGGACGAAGAAGAAACAGAAGCAGAGAACAGAAGAAACAGAATTAAAGGAAAAATGAAAGCAAATAAGAAACGAATCAAAACTCGAAAAAAAAAGCTGTCGTCAATTTGGACAGTAATTACTGTCGGCCGGCCGGTCGGTCGGCCGAAGTCACTGATAATGAAATGAACTAAGCGAATTTGGAGTTTCATGCTTACCGCTAGTTCCTCCTTGACCAGCGACTCGGTTTTCGCCGCCTGAGGCAACGCTGAAATAGCACCGTTTTGGATGTCGTCTGGCATTGCGAACGGACGAAAGAACCAACGAACGATACCGGAAAGGAAGAATTTTGCCAGTAAAATGAAGTCACAAACTGCCTGGATAAAACGCTCACACCCACATAGTCTAAACAACAGTCGTAGAAACGAATAGAAACGAAAAAAATATGAACGCGAACAGTTTCGAAACGCGAATAAATCCACTGGCGGTAAATCCTCGCTTAAAGCATCATTTCGCATCCAACCGGTGCGAATTCTCTGAAGGAAGGGATCAGCTGCCGCTAGCTACGTCCATCCACAAGCAGAAATTCATGCAACGAGCTGAAGATCAACAAAACAAAAACCTCGGACAACTCTGCCTGCACTGATGCGAGTGCTCGACGACCTATGTGAGTGTGCGATTAAGTTATTCAGCAAACGAAGCGAATCTTAAGCGAGAGTAATGCGCCGTCATCAGCAAGTATCGATCTTACAGTCATAGGAAACCATAAAAAGAAGCCCATCAATTTTAAATAAAAACATTCATTGCACTGTATGAAAACGAATACGAAAATCCGCCAAGCACTGACACGGGGGCAACATACACCGGGTCTGCTGCACAGCAGAAAATATCATCTTCATAAAGAAAATAACGTAGTTCTTTGTAAACCTAGAACTGCAGTACACACTGCTGTAACTAAATTATCTAGGGTTAAGTAACGCTGTTGAAAAGGTCTGGTGCGTGAGCTTCCGCCACGACTTTCAAAGAAAAACCAGATAGCAGTCATTTTATTCGTTGACCGCCGTCGATGCGTCCCGCTTAGCTTCCTTAGGCTGGGTGCCACTGACGTACTACCCGAAGAACAATTCAACTGATGAGCAACTAATGCCATTCGCTCTGGACCTTACTGAGACGGGACCCAAAAACAACGACGATCGTTCGGTCCTTATACGGTGGCTCTGGTTTAGTAATCCTGGCAGATGAATCGAAATAGAGATTGGCGCCGTGCCCGAAATTTAATGTAATAACGGAAGTGCAAACGAAAATGAAAAGCAAAGGCGCAGCGGGTCAGCACTCTGCTTTGTAT